AAATAGACTATTAGATGATGCTAAGAAAGTGCTGTTAATTTTGTTAGATATGACAACAGTATTGTTGAGAAATGTTCTTATTTCTTTGAGATGCAAACTGAAGTATTTAAGGGTAAAATGGGAGATGCATTGGATTTACTTTAAAATACTTCAGCCAAAAAGCGGTCAGAATACACGTGAAGGAAGTGCTGTCAAGTGTTCATTGTTGAGACTTTCAGTTATAAGATCAGTAAGTTACTGGGATCTAATGTATAGCATGATGACTGTAGCTGTCAATTCTGTACTACACACCTGAAAGTTGCTAAGAGAGTAGAGCTTTTTTTTTCCTTGCTGGACTATACTCACTCTTTTTTCCCCCAGTTCTATTAAGATAACAGACACACAGCACTCTCTGTAAGATTAAGGTGCACAGCATAATGATTCGATTTACAAACATCATGAAATGATAGCCACAATAAGTTTAGTTAACATTCATCATCCCAGATTAAACAAAAGAGGGGGAGGGTGTAGCTCAGTGGTAGAATGCGTCCTTAGCATGTATGAGGTCCTGGGTTCAATCCCCAGTCCCTCCATCAAAAAATAAAATAAAATTTAAAATTTAAAAAAAAAAAGAAAGAAAAAGAAAAAAAATTAATGTTCTCACTATAACAGCAACAACCACAGAAAGGTTATTGTGTGGGTTAAAACACGTCTTAATTAACCTTATTATGGTGAAACATAATATATATGTGTACCAAATCATCACCTTGTGCATCTTAAATTTATACAATATGTCAGTTAATATCTCAACAAAGCTGGGGAAAATGTTGATTGTTGAATCTGGGTGATGGGTACATAGGACCTCATAGAAGTATTTACTGGGTTTTTGTGGGGATATTTTTGAAAGTTTTTATGATAATATGTTTAACAAAAAACAGCTTATTTTTGAGACTTAAAAAAAAGATTGTTGGAGCCACATGGAAGAATGAAATACTCGTGACCTGGACAATTGAAAATGTAGATTAATGAAGGATAACGGACACCACCAGTGACTAAAATGTATCACAAAGCTACAATTACAAAAGCAATGATAATAAACAGTCAACAACAAAAAAATAAATAGAAAGTCCAGAAACAGCCCCTATTACATATAAAACTTGTGGGGTTTTTTAAAAGTAAAATTCTGATTTCCAATCAACAGCAAAAGTTTGAATTATTTACTAAAGGATACTAGGACAATTGCTTAATAACTTAGAAAAAAGGTATTTCCCTATCTCATACCCCTATGTCTAGATTTCAGATGAATTAAAGAATTAACATGCTTTTCAAAAACTACAACAGAATTATAAGCTAATATAGTAAACATGCATCTGACATCCGACTCAAAAAGACTCTTTTCTGCATAAAAGCAAAGGGAGAAAACACAAATGAAAAGACTGATTTGACTACCCCGAAATTTAAAACTTTGGTACAAAGCAAAAAACAAGAAAACAATTATTTGCAGGATAGGATTAAAATAAGCATTTATCAAGCTCATCTCATTCAATCCTCAGAACCATCCTATAAAATGAATGTTATCTCTACTTTATAGAAGAGTCAACTCAGGTTTGAAAAAAGCTAAGTAACTTGTGCAAAGTCACATGACTAGAACCTGGCAGCACTAGGATTCAAAAGTAGGTCTGCCTGAAAAGGAGACTCACAGTTGCAGAGAACAAACCAGTTACGGGGGCGGAGGTGGGGGGTGAGTGTGCATCGGATGTTTTATGTAATATGAGGAATATAGCCAATATTTTGTAATAACTGTAAATGGACTGTAAACTTTAAAATTGCATAAAACTTTTTAAAAACGTGAAAGAAAGGAAGGAAGGAAAAAAGAAAGAAAAAAAAAAAGAAAGAAAGGTTGGTCTGCCTGACTCCAGTTTACATCCACTAACCACTTTATCATACTGCCTCTTTGTATGACAAATTAGTAGTATCGTTAATATTTAAATAGCTCTTAAAACTCAATAATAAAAGTAAAAGTATTCCCAATAAAAATGGGGAAAGTACCAAAACAAGCAATTTACAAAGAAGAAATATGGTCAGTCAGTCGATATAAACATGGAAAGAAATCCTCTCCCTCATCAATATTCAGAGAAAGGCAAATTAAAATGAGACAATGTTTTCCATTGGCAGAGATTTTATTTACTTCTTTTTTAATGTCCTGCTTCTGGTGAGTATATCTGTTAAGGATCTTCAGTTGTGAGCAACAGCAACTGAATTTTATTTTATTTTATTTTATTTTATTTTATTTTATTTTATTTTAATTGAAGTATAATTCGTTTACAATGTTGGGTTAATTTCTGGTGTACAGCATAATGTTTCAGTGACACATACATATGTATTCCTTTTCATATTCTTTTTTATTATAGGTTATTACAAGATACCAAATAATGTTTCCTGTGCTATACAGTAGAACCTTGTTTATCTATTTTATATATAGTGGTTAGTATCTGCAAATCCCAAACTCCCAATTTATCCTTCCACTCCCTCTTTCCCCTCTGGTAACCATAAGTTTGTTTTCTATGTCTGTGAGTCTGTTTCTATTTTGTAAATAAGCTCATTTATGTTATTTTTAAAGATTCTACATATAAGTAATATCATTATATGGTATTTGTCTTTCTCTTTCTAGCTTACTTCACTTAGAATGACAATCTCCAGGTCCATCCATGTTGCTGCAAATGGCATGATTTCATTCTTTTTTATGGCTGAGTAGTATTCCATTGTGTGTGTGTGTGTGTGTGTGTGTGTGTGTGTGTGTGTGTGTGTGTGTATACCACAACTTCTTTATCCAGTCATCTGTTGATGGACATTTAGGTCAGCAACTGAATTTTAGACTTTTCTCTTTAGAGCTGCCTTCTCTGTGCAGGATGTGAATGGAGGGGTGGGCAGGTTAGAGGACATAGAAGAGTTCAGAGACCCTAACCTGGGTCAAGTGCTCTCACTTGTGATACGGAAATCACCTGGTGATTGGTGGCCAACTAGAATTACAGAAGATGGGGAGCAATGACTCCGCCGAGGGAAGGGATGCTTGGCAAACAAAAACAAGAGATGTCTATTGCAAAGCAGGTGGAAGTTCTCCTACACTCATTTCCTTCTTTCTGAAATGTAATTTGACTAAATATTCAAAGCCTGAAAAACTTTTTTTGACCTAGCATTTCTTTTTGTTTGTTTTTGTTTTATTGAGGTATAATTAACATACAACATTATATTACTTTCAGGTGTACAACCTAATGATTCAATTTTTGTATATATTGTGAAGTGATCACCACAATAAATCTAGTGAATGTCTGTCACCACACATAGTTACAAAATGTTTATATTTCTTGTATTGAGAACTTTTAAGGTCTACTCTCTTAGCAACTTTCAAATATACAATACAGTATTATTAATTATAGTCACCATGCTATACATTTCATCCCCAGGACTGATTTATTTCTATAACTGGAAGTTTGTATCTTTTGACTCAACTAGCACTTCTACTCTGACAAATTTACCCTAAGAAAACAGTCATAGATGTGACTCAAAATGTATGTACAAAGATTTTGTCACAGCTTTACTTAGGAAAGCTAAAAAATGGAAACCTGTATGTTTCACAATAGGGAACTGATTATAAATGTTTCGGCATATCAGTCTTACAAAATACCATGTAACCATTAGAAATGATGATATTGGAGGACAGTCCATGACATGGGAAAATGTCTACAAAATAATCTTAATTGAAAAAGCATTTTTTCAATATACATGTGTAGTTTGCAATCAGGAAAAAAATTAGCCTCATTAAATTGTCCATCTAAATAAAGCTGCCAAGGAGATGTTAGAATTCCAAAAGGAACATCTGATCATAGAATTCAGGACCTCTCTTTTCCTGGGAGCTTAGAAGACAGCATGAGGGATTCAAGTCAAACCCATGAAAAACTTCCCGACTGTGAGGGTTGTCCTGAACTGGAACATCCTCTTCCCCTGTCAGCATCAGATGAGGTATTGCCTCACTTCCAAGGCCAGGAACTGGATGGGGATCATGGAGAGATAATGACAGGTCTCAGTCTAGTTAGGAATTAACTGTGGGTCCTCCAGTCTCCTCCCACTTCCTGTCTACAGTTTCCTCAACTTTCAAATGGGAGGGTGGGGAGGATGGTTCTGATCTCTTCCAGTCTGGGTAAGGTACTGTGGTTCAGTGGGGTCCCTGTGTGGGGCGGCCCCTTAGGACTCTGAGCACCCAGCTGTCTGCCTTCTACCAAATACTGGAGACAGAGGATGTGAAATCTAAGGTGGGGTCCTTGGCTGAGATGATTTTTTGCTCAGGATCCCCTAGGGCCAGGGAAGGGGTCCCAGAGGCCACCCATACCTGCTGTGACCAGCTACCTCAGCTAAATCAAAACCCCTGCTCCATCCACCCCCGACCGCTGAGCCAGCCCAGGCAGGGGGCAGTTCCAGCAGACGCCACTGTAGGTGATCTCACCAAAGGCGGGGAGGTCTCTCCCCCTCCCACCCACGGGAGTCAAAGAGGAGAAGCTAGGGCTTCTCCACTCACTGTGCCAAACCGGGCCAGACTTCTCCAGCAGAGAGCTCTGACCCTAATCCTAATGCTGCCTAGGCATCCGGAACTCTGCAAACCCCTCCTTGCTATTCAAAGCTGACTTCTACCCTCTGACTAGGCCATTACTGGGGCTTCAAGATCTAGAGAACCAGGAAAGGGAGTATCTGACTCAATAACCTTCACCCTTTATATAGATGAGAAAAACTGAGGTCCAAAGAGGGACAAGACTTGTCCAAATCATAGCCCAAGTCAGCGATACCGGCAGGACTGGATTCTAGCCCCCAACACCCAGGGCTGCCCCCACCCACCATCAATTCTTGCACAAGTGCCCCTGCACTGAGGCTCTTGGGCAGGGGGTGTGGCCAGGACAAGACAGACACGTCCATCCACCCCATCCTTCCTCCCCTGACTCAGTTGCTCTAACGTCCCTGAGGCTGCAGGTCTTAATTTAGGGGCCTCTGGGTTCAACCTTTTAGGTGTCAGCAGCAGAAACATGAGGGCGCAGAGCCTCCTCCTCCTGGTGGCCCTCCTGGCTTTGGGGAGCCACCTGCCTGCTGCCTTGGGTAGGAGGAAGAGAGGTGAGTATGGGTAGGTTACTCTGCCCCAGGGACAGAGGTGGTTTCTGCTTTTAGGGGAGAATAAATGTTTGGGGGAAGGTAGGCGATGTAGAGTGAGTGTGTGTGTGTGTGTGTGTGTGTGTGCGCGCGTGTGCGCACCTGCCTCTAGGTACCTGCTTCTTAGTGTTTCCAGCAGCTTACATTTTGTTTGTACACCTTTCTTCCTGACAGCTTTCCTGCATCTGTAGCTGTAAATGTCTTCCTGCCAGTTTCTTGGTGCTGGCCTGTGTCTGTCTACACGTCTGAGTATAAGACTGTGCTTACACCCGTGCGTCTGTCTTTATGGATGTGTATCTTTGTGCCTGCTTATCTGTGGGATCTGTGCTGCATATGGATACTTAGGTATGACTGCAATATGTGTGTCTGAGCCTGTGTGCATGGACATGTGTGAACACGTGTCTCCCTGTGCCCCTGGGAGGGGAGGAGAGAGATCGTGGGCACCTGCTCTCTGGTTGTCTCCATGGGGCTATCTGGACCTGTGGGTTCACATGGCAGGGAGATGAGCCTTTCTGTCAACTTCTGTGACCAACCAGGCTTAGTTGGGCCTCTGCTCATCTTGTTTCTGTCCTTCTCCGGCCTTCTCTGATCCCCAGCCCCACCTGTGAAAGGGACTCCAGAGTTGAGTAGGGGGTGTGGTTTCTGGGAGCTGGGATCTGTTGGGAGGAAGCTCTACCCCTGTCTCTCCCTCTTCTTCTCCGCCTCCTTCAAAAGGCTGGGTCTGACCTGCCAACAGGCAACGGAAGCTGGGTCTGCCAGAGTTGCTAGACAGGTGCTTCCCCACCTAGGCAATGCCTCCACCTCCATCCCTTCTGGGGCTGTAAGCCTCTGACCTACATACACCTGTGCAGCTCTGGCCCTGGAGGCAATAATGGGGGCCCCTGGGGAGCAGTTCCCTGCATCCTCTCTGCCCCTCTAGCCTCGGAGGTGAGGATCTCTCCCAGTGTGAGCTGGCCTGGGGAGGAGACTGCGTAGAGGCCCCCAGGCTTAGGAGGGAAGGATGCTGGCAAGTTCGGAGTACTGGCTGTGATTCATGTGGCATCACCACATTCCTCCTCATTGTGATGTTGTGAGGTTAAGGCTATCTTTACCCCCATTTTACAGATAAGGAAACTGAGGCTTAGTGGGAAACCACCTGCCCAAGGCCAAAGACATGACTCTGAGTTAGTGTCAAAGGTGGCATTCAGTGTAGGTCTGTGGAATTGGGCAGACTCACCAATCCAATGTAGTCTCTGTAAAATGGGACGCATGGCTCTGTCCCAGGAGTAAACAATGTCTTGAGGAATAAGGTCCTGGCATCCAGTAAGTGCAGCCTAAGTGGGCAATTCAGGGGAGCTGCTGGGGGCACTGGGAGACAACACCCCAATATTCAGCCCAGCTGCACAGATATGGGAGCTGGAACCCACAGAACCTGAGCCCGCACAGAACCTGCCTTACGGCCAAATGGGAGACGCTGGTCTCCCCTCAGTTCACGCATCTCGATCTCCCCAGATTCTCTCCCATGAAACGTCTGTCTGGCTCTTGGTAGAAATTCAGACAGTGGAGGAGTGACAGGGCTGAGGGCAGGGGAGTCTTGGTTTGTTGTCTGTAGAAGCCCAGACACCACTGTTTAAAAGACACACCCTACCCCCACCCCCCACCCCTGCCTCCAACATAAAGAGCCTGCACAGTCCTTGGTAAACAGTAAGTGCCTGACAATGTTTTCAGTGGTTGTATGAATAGATCTGTGTCTTTGTATGAATAGATCTGTGTCTGTGTAGCCCTGGACATGTGGTTGTGTGTGTATGACTGTGTGTCCACGTATGTCTCCCTGTTCACACCCACACATATGCTATGTACTTACATATATGACTGTGTATGTCCGAGTGTGTGTGTAATTATCTGTGTGTATGTATTTACATGTGTAGGCATGTATATATGACAGTATGCCTCTTTATTTGACTATATGTATACGTCCCAGCTCATACGTACATACATGACTGTGTTTATACATGTATGTAACTGTTAACTATCTTGTGAATGTCTGGATGTGTATGTATGTATGTGTATGTATATGTATAGGTCAAACCATATGAAATTGCTACTTCTTTTTTAAACCATGATTTTTATTTTTCCTTATACTTTTTATAATGCCCAAAATTTCAACAGTGAACATGTATTTTGACTATTTAAATTGAGCAAGACTTCTTTTCAAGTTAGTATGGGAATGGGGGGGTCTTGATTCGTTGAGTTTTTCATAAAGCCCCTTTGTTCCAATTCTTATTTTAAAAAAATTATCTTCATAAAGTCTGTTAGTTTGCTTTCCTGCTTTAACAGATGCAGGTTAATGGAATCAGTTAACGTCTCTGACAAGCAGTGCCTGTAGCAAGGTGGTTAGCACGTGGCTTTTGTGCTGATAGTCTGGAAATTGCTACTTCTGTAGATCAAAAAAGTTGAATCGCAGCAATTTCCTATGGGTGAGCCCCTAGCTAATTGTGTGTAAACATCTAAGGGAAGTGTTTGCATATTTGACCAGATATGTCCTTCTGAATGAAATCTTGAAATGACTCAAAATCTTACTCCAGGACAGAACATTCTAGAGCCGTTCAGAGGACTGCCTCAAAGACTGAATTAATACAGGGCCCTGAAACAAGGCCACCTGTAACGGTGACATGCACCAGGCTGGCAACAGCTGACACACTGCGATGCTGATCTCCCATCAAAACTCTATCACGCCCCTAGTGTTTCACCTCAAGGGCTGTGCTTCAGCCTCATGATGCACAAAGCAGGCAGAGGGGCTGTTCTCAAAGCCTCCAGCCAAGTTAGGTGAGCAAAGAGATGCAGAGTCACCAGCGCTGATGGGAAGAGCCTTTGGGGTATGGGTGTGGGTGGGGGCTGACCTAGTGAATCTGCGCTCTGAGAACAGGGTCTCTTGAGGAAGCAGGGTCTCAGCTGAGAACTGAGGAAGAGGGTAGAGGAGACAGCACCAGGCAAAGGGCACAGCAGAGAGAAGTGGCCTGGAGTGGATCAGGAGCCACCAAGTAGACAGAGTGTCCCTGATGCAACCAGAGAGATGGGCAGGGGGCCAGGCCAGGCTCGGTCTCGTTGGCCTAGATGGAGACTTTGAACTTCATTTTTTTGCGTTTTTTATGTTATCTCAGTCTCAAGCCAGCCCTGGGAGGAAGGAGTCCAGCTTGCCATTTCACAGACGGAAAACTGAGGCTTAAAGTAAAAAAAAAACCAAAAACTTGCCAGCCATGTGCGATCACATAGATGGACCCTGAGGGCATTATGCTAAGTGAAATAAATCAGACGAGAAAGACAGATACTACATGATCTCATTTATATGTAGAATCTAAAAGACCAAACCAAATCAAACCAAACCCAAATTAAGCTCATATACACAGATAACAGTTGGTGGCTGCCAGAGGTGAGGGGTGGCGGGTGGAGGGGTGAAATGGGTGAAGATGGTAAAAAAGTACAAACTTCCAGATCTAAAATAAATAAGCCACGAGGATGTAATGTACAGCGTTTTAACTGTACTAAATAGTGCTATAGTGCGTATTTGAAAAGTTGCTCAAAGAGTCGATCTTAAAAGTTCTCATCACAAGATAAAAAAATTTGTAACTATGTATAGTGACTGATGTTAACAAGACTTATTGTGGTGATCATTTCACAGTATAGATAAATATTAAATCATCATGTTGTGCGCCTGAAACTAATGTAATATTACATGTCAATTAGACTTCAATTTAAAAAATTAAATAATAAATGAATAAATATAAGCAAGTCTGTGCAAAAAAAAAAAATTCACCAAAGGACAGGAAAGAAAGAATGAGCAGAGAATTTAGATCTTGTGATTCCCAGGTTGGCGCTTATACAACATTCTAAACTGACTCCAGCTACAAAATATGGGGGGGGTCCTCTTACAGAGAAATCTGGGGGCTGCCCACCAGATGATAGGCCCTGCCTCCTCTCTGTGCCTGATCAGTGTGTGGACGACAGCCAGTGTCCCTTAAGGATGAAGTGCTGCCACCAAGCTTGCTTCCGCCAGTGTGTCCGGAAGGTCTCACGTAAGTGTCCCTCTCCACCTTGCTGACCCCCGGCCAAGCTGCAAGCCCCAGGGCCGGGCCCCAGGCGGCGCTCACCGGGCCCCTGTATTGCAGTAAAGAAGGGTGGCTGCCCCGAGGACCGAATGCGCTGCCTTAGCCCAGTGCAGCACCTGTGCTTCAAGGACTCAGACTGCCAGGGCCTCAAGCGATGCTGCCTTGGCGCCTGTGGCCGGGACTGCCGAAACCCTGTCGGAGGTATGGCTCCTGTGTGCTTGGGGCAAGTTCTTTCCCTCTCTTGAGCCCCAGCTCTACAGATCCCTTCAGTATAACAAGTTTAACAGGTCCCTTCCAAGAAGCCTGGGCCTCCCATGGCCAGATCTGGGGAAGTGGATGGGGTGGGAGGGGCCCTGGCAGGATGATGGAGGAAGTGGAGATCCTTGTTGTCTTACTGAATGAACTTGCTGCATCACTTGGACCACAACCCTACACTGCTCTAAGGTTCAGTTTGCCCTTGTGAAGGAGGGTGGGGAGATCTGCCTTAGTGGCTGGGCTGATGGGGTCTGGACAAGCACCGAGCCCAGAGCTTTATTATAGGAGGGGATTAACTCTCTCCTTTTCTCTCCTCAGGCTAATTCTGGTTTAGGAGCCACTGCTCTGAATCTCAGGATGGGGTTCCCAACAGGAAGATATGATGAAGGTGGGGGGCTGGGAACCTGCCACCCAGAAAGCACCCTCTGCCAGTGGCAATTCCAACCTTGTGATAAACACTGATCTGCTGTCACTCCCCCTGCCACCCATCCCCCACCCCTCTTACTTCCTCCTGGGAGTCAAGGTCTACAGCCAGACCTCAAGGACTCCTCTCTGTCGTCCTGCACCACTGCCGCATTGAGCTTCTCAGCCTTCCTAACACCCTCTTTCACATCTCTTTGGAGATGTATTCCTTCCACCTGAAATGCCCAGCTCAGGTGGGCCCCTCTTTGTGGAGTCCTGACCCCTCTTTCGGCAGCACAACCACCCCAAACGTATGTTCTAGCAGAATTTTCCAAAAGTCAATCTATTCACATACCCGTTTCACAGTTTTCTCCATACCTGCCAAACAGCATCACGGCATTTTGTGTAGTGCCCGTACTACCATTTACCTAAGGTGTTTCTTTAAATGGACTCACTTTTGTATACGAATAAATTTATTTCAAAAGAAAAACTTGATGTCACTAAATGGGATAAGAAAGATCGCTTGTCACAAGGAAGATGTAATTGTGAAAGCAGATGCATGAAAACAGCTAAGTTCCATTAGAGTAAATCATGTCAGATTCATTGATATTAAGTAATAGTATTAAATTCTGGCTAGACACTGTCACCTGCCAAGACTGTGAGCCTGAAGCCTACTTTCTGTCTCTGTTGTAATAAAGGAAAATCAACGAGAGTTAAAGAAATGTGAAGGACGCAAATCTCTAAACTGAGACTTTCTTCCTGGTGTAATCAGAGGGATTGACAAGAGAACTTTCTCACCCCAAGAGTCAGGGTTGTATGATGTTGTGTCCATGCACATCCTAAGATCATTTCATTTCCTCCACATTTGCCACTCATGGGCAACTGCACCAGCCCTGGACGGCCTAAAAAAAGTCCACTCCTCTCTGAGGTCAGTTTTTGTTCTTGCAGCTAAATTAAATCCTAACTGATCCACTGGGTAAAGAAAGGGCAGGAAGAGTTGGTCATGAAGAGGGAACAGCATGTGTCACTCCTCACCTCAATCCTGAAAGGTAGGCATTGCTCCCATTTTACAGATGAGGTAGATAAGAATCCAAGAGGAGACATCTCTTGGACTATGATCCTGCAGCAATTTAGCGGTAAAGGCAGGATTCAAATCCAGTGATTAATTATCTATTACGTGTAGCAAATTACCACGCTCAAAACAACGTACATTTAATTATCTCACAGTTTCTGTGGCTCAAGAATCCAAGCACAGCTTAGCTGGGTCCTCAGCTTCAGGGTCTCACAAGGCTGACATCACGGTGTTGGCAAAGGCAGGGGTCTTACCTGAGCCTTGATGGCAGAAGGACCCACTTTCAAGTTCATATGGTTGTTGGCAGAATTTCAGTTCCTGGAGAGCTGTGGGAGTAACTTCTTCAGTTCCCAGCTGGTCGTTGCCCTCATTCCCTTGCTTTTCTAGCATGGCACCCTGCTTCATCAAGGCCTGCAGGAAGTCACAATCTTATGTAACCTAGTTCCGGGAGCAACATCCCATCACCTTTGCCATATTCTGTTCATTAGAAGCAAGTCAGTAAATCCTGCCCACACCCATGGGGAAGGGACTGCACAAGGGCATGAATAGCAAGAGGCCTCTGTTTCCTCATTGGTAATTTCCTCATTGGTAAAATGAGGGAATCAGACAAGAGCATCTTCCTGCTCTACTTTCTATTTGGAGGGAAGAGCTGAAGGAGTGCAGCCCAGAGACGCATGGTCTAACATGGCAGCCACTAACCACATGTGGCTACTGCACATGTGAAATGTGATTAATCCAAATTGAGATTTACTGCTGGCAGATGTAGTAGGCAGAAGTTTAAGATGATTCCCAAGTGACCCTTGCCCTTGTACAATCTCCTCCTCTTGAGTATAGGTAAAAGGGAGATTGTCCTGGATGGGCCTGGCCTAAGCAGGTGAGTCCTTTAAAAGTAGAGCATTTCCTCTGGCTGCTTACACAAGAGGAAGTCAGCACTCCAGTTTGCCTAGAAGAATGCAAACATCCATGTTGTGACCTGCCACGTGGCAAGGAAGCAGAGGCAGCCTCTAGGAGCTGAGAGCAAGCCCTAGCAGACAGCAAGCAGGAAAAGATGCACTTCAGTCCTACAACTACAAGGAAGTGAATTCTACCAACAATCTGTGAGCTAGAAGAGAACCCCGAACCCCAGAGGAGAACCACAGCCCTGGCTGGCACCTTGACTTCAATCTAGTAAGACCCTGAGTAGAGAATCCAGCCATGCCATGTCCAGACTACTAACCCACAGAAACTATAGATGATAAATTTGCATTGTTTTAAGTTGCTAGGTTTGTGGTAATTTGTTACACAGCAATAAAAAACTAATACACTGGATTTTGAAATGAAAATGTAAACTATCTTGTTAATAATTTCTTTTTTGATTCCATGTTAAAATTATAATATCTGGGGTTAGATAAAATATATTATGGCAATGTCACCTGTTTCTTTCCACTTTTTTTTTAAAAGAAATTCTATTTTGGGGGGTAATTAGGTTTGTTTGTTTATTTATTTATTTATTTTAATGGAGGTACTAGGGATTGAACCCAGAACCTCACGCATGCTAGGCACACACTCTACCACTGAGCTATATCCTCTCATCTTTTCACTTTTTAAAATGTTGCTCTCAGAAAATTTTAAATTCTATTATGTGGATCACATTACATCTTTGGACAGTGATGGCCTAAAGACAGCTATACGCCCTTGAGCAAATCATCTCACCTTTCAAAGTCTTACATTTCGTATTTGTAAGATTGAATAACAATAGCACATACCCCACAGATACATTTGCAGTTAAAGAGATGAGGCTTGTAGAATACTTGGCCTAAGGTAAGCGCTCAATAAATAATTATTAGTAACAATTAATATTTGTTTTCTTGTATCCAGGTTCTAATCTCCAGGACCCTCTCCCCAACCAGGCACACAGTAGGTGTTTCGTAAATGCTTGTGGGTTACACAAACTTGACAAAGCTCTTTGGCACGGTTCTCTCTTACTCTCGCCACAACTTGCAAGGCAGGAATCAGCAATCTATGGGTGGGTGAGGACACTGAACTTGGTGGGGTGGGGAAGAGGGATGATCAGTTTCAGGCTTGATCTGTTTCAAGATTTCCCTGAGAAAATTTTGGAAGATGTGAGTTCCAATCCCAGGTTCACAACTCCCAGCTAAGCGTCCTGAGCGAGTGACCAGGCCTCATCTGTGAAATGGGCCTTAGTCTTTTTTGTCAGGAATAACTCAGATAAGTCACCTGAAGGCGAGTGCCTGGCCCGTACTAAGGACTCACTCAATTAAAGAAGCTATTACTGCTGTTGCTGTTCCTTTGTCAGAGAAGCTCCGGCAGAAATCCCTTTCTAGTGGAATCCCCACCCCCTAAATTACCCCTTATCCCCTGGCCCCTGAGTTGAGGTTGACCCATAACCTCGGCTGTTGGACCCAGTCTCCAGTCACCGCCTCCACTCCCCAACTGAGTCAGGAATAGAAACCGCCGCAGCCCGCGGCCTCCCTCCCTCCCCCGGCACCGGCACCGACCGATCGATGCGGCCTCAGCCGCGGGGGACAGAGGAAGACAGGGAAGGAGGGGGCAGCGGGGCATCCGGCAGCAGAGAAGCTCAGTGGGGCGGCAGGGCAGAGACATCCCGGGTGCGGGTGCGGCCAGCGGCTCCCCAGCCTCAGCGCCTTCAGGGACCACTCACTGGCGGGCGCCCTAGAGGGGCCGCGACAGGTAAGGGACCTGGGAGGAGGGGCCTGATCTGGGAAGGGGGCAGGGGCTGCGTGAGTGGGAGGCCAGGCAGCCTCAGATTCTCGGTATCCGTGCCCCCTCGATGAGACCCCCAAGGGGGGAGCAGCGTGGGACTGGCCATTTGGGGGCTGTCCTGTTTGCGCATTCGTGCAAAGGGATTTGAAAAATTCTGTCAGGGTGGGTAGAGGGGTTAAACCGAGGGAAGTGTATCTGGAGCCCAGCAAAGTGACCAGCACATAGTAGGTGCTCAAAATAAATGTGTGGAGAGAACCTTGAATCAAAAAGCTTAGTTTCCAACCTCAACTGGGCCTTGAGCTAGCTGGCTAATTTTGAGAAAATCACTTAATTTTTTCTTATTGATATTCAGATTCTTGTCAAGGAAGGTTTGTTGAATTAATCATCCCATTTCATAGAGGAAGGTGAGTTCCAGAAAAAAGAGAAAGGGGATTTGCCCAAAGTCATGCAGCTAATGGGTGATGGAACTGGATTAAAAACTCCACCTTTTGATGCCAGGTAGAGGGGTAGGAGTGGCGTTGCATCATATATGTGTTTACTGTGCACAAACTATATGCTAGGGACTGAGCTGCCGATAAACATCTTGCCTCATTTAATCCTCAAAACTTCTCATGGAAAGTACAATGTTCCTCAGTTTATAGATAAAGAGACTGAAGCTCAGATTGGGGAATGATTTTGCTCAAGGTCAACAGTCAGTAAGTGGCAGACTCAGAATCTGAACCCAGGTCGGATAAGGGAAATGCAAGGGATTAACATTTATTGAGCACCTACTGTGTTCCAGGGGCTTCGCACACATGCTCACAATAACCCTTCACTGGCAGTGCTGTTATCCCCATTCTGTAGATAAGAGCTCTGCAACTCAGAACTGGAGGAGACTGGCTGGAGGTCACTCACGTGACAGAGCTAAGGACAAAACCCCGACCTTCTTAAGCGCCAAGCCTAGGGTAAGTGAGGGGCACTCTGCCTGCTCCTGCCAGGCATTGGGCCAGCTGCTTGATCCCCTGTCCACCCTGGGAAGCAAGCATTACTGAACCCACAGTGCAGATGAGCTACTGAAGGCCAGGAGGTGAGTCACTGGCCCTCAGTTCCAGCACAGCTTGGGGACAGTGAGCAGTGGAAGGATCTAACATTTCCAGAGTATCCACTAAAGCCAAGCACTTCCATAACCTACCTTAATCCTCCAGCCTTCCTTGGGAGCAGGTGATATTGTCTGTATCGTGAATTGTGCCTTATGCCAGAAATTGGGAGCTGGAGGAAAACATTTTCCTCAAGGCTTCAGATGCATCAAGGGTGGAGATAAGCCCAGGTCTGCCTGACTCCAGGAGACAGTAAAACTAGTGGATGATTTACTACGCCCCTTTAGGGAGCGAGGCCTGATCAAGACATTAGGTCATTTAATCTTTTTAACCACACCTGGAGATGGATATTTTTATCTCCATTTGACAGAAGCTGGGGGGTGGGGTGGGAGACATGACTTGCTTATGGTCACACACAAGTGTCAAAACTCAATCTGACTGATTCTACAGATGCTTTAAATAGTCTAAGCCAATGGTTCTCAGTCTGGACCATGCATCAGATTCACGCTCCAAGCTTGTTAAAACAGACTTCTGGACCCCATCCCCTGAGTTTCTGATTCTGCAAGTGCAGAGCAGGCTGAGAATATGCATGTCTGCCAAATTCCCAGGTGGTGGTGATGCTGCTAGTCCAGGGAACACACCGTGAGAACTTCCGGTCTAAACTGAGTCTCTCAGCAACTCTAGATGGTAAGCATTACTACCTCATTTTGCAGAGAAAATTGAGGTTCAGATTGCTGGCTCGTCCAAGATCCCACAATAAGCCTCTGGTATACGAAAATCCAAGTTTGGGCAAGGAGACGTCCTATATGAGCACCCAAGAGTGCCAGGACACCCTGCCATTCAGCCATTCAGTAGTAGCTTTCAAAATCCTCCGGGGTAGATCTTGGCATTTGCTTTATGTAAATGAAGTGGCGGGAGGGGAGGCTCTGTGATTTGGCTGAGAACCCCGGTCGGGAGTGAAGAATATTCAAACTCAAGTGTGACTCTTGAGTCCAGAGGGCACTTGACACTGTGCGCCTACGGCCTATCAGACGCTTCATACAGAGCCTCCAACACCCGTGGCTGGTGGTGGATGGAGCTGGTGATCCAGGGACACTCCCTCTCTCCCTTCAGAGCCCCCTCCCATGTCCGTAGGCCGGCGCGCCAGAGCCACGGTGAGCGAGTTCCCCGAGCCCGGCGCCAGGGCCCCCTGGCGGCGAGGCGACGAAGTGCTGCGCG